GGGAGCCGCCCCGCCCTCGCCCCGCCCTCGCCCCGCCCCGCTCCTCCTTTCATTATCAAACTGCTCTTAACGGGGGGGATAACCGAGCAGCGGCTCTGATGGTATGGAAATTATGACGTTTTGCTTCTGTCCAATCATCAGTCGGGGTTTTTCCAATGGTGAGTCGGTATTCCAGAGCGCAATGCTTTTTGGAAAAAAAACGTCCGGCGAGTTGGAGGAGAGGACACGTCCTTAGGGATTAACAGTCACTTTGCTGCGCTCAGGTGGACGCAGAGGAGAGGAATTTAAATGGCGGGACCTGGCACATACGTTTAGAAATGAGAAGTTCTGTACCAGGTTACAAAATGGGCCAGACAGAAGAATACACGGAATACATGGGATTGGGGAATAAAATTCACTAACGTTAATAGTAGCACAGGGTGAGCACTTACGGTGTCAGCGCGAGAAGTGGATTGAGTAATTTTACCTCAGACGGTTATATAGCAGCTTCCTTCAAAGGCTCTCAGTATCTCCCACAGATATTAATATACTTCCTATGCTGTTCTGTACGTATATATATATGCACACCATATATTGGTATTCACCATAGATTATATACATACCATAGGTTATATATATACATACTGATACATTTATGTTTTAGATATATGTTAAATAAATATATATACATGCATATATGCTTGAATACATACATACATACGCGTGTATGTATATATTTTCCAAATTAGCAAGTGTGAAACCTGAGCATACAGAAAGAGATCCACCCAGGGTCTCGCACACAGCCGGAGGTCACAACTCTAAAGATGAGGCAGCAGCCTGGGAACCCTTAGCACAAGTCATTTTCCCTTCCTGAAGCTGCTCAATTTAGGAAAAACAGAGCAAATTCCGGCCCCACTGAAATCAATGACCGCAATGGCGATTGAATTCAGTAGGTCCAAGAGTTCACCCACAGCTGCTGTTTCACACCATCCTCACCTTAACTTAAAGTATGGCTGACTTGCAGGTTGTATCAGTACAGCTCTCTCATTCCAAAATGACTTTTTTTTTTTACCCCCACAAGGACTCATGCAGCTTCCCAAATTGTGTTTAGATTATTGCATTTTAAATTTAGAACTTTGCTTGCTATGCCTGTAAAACATTTAGTACGAAAACCCACCACAAAAACGACTTAACACACGGCAGTATTGAAACACCTGGACAGATAGTGAAAATCATACATTCATTGATAGAATCATAGGATCTTTTGGGTTGGAAGGGACCTTTAAAGATATATCTAGTTCAACCCCTTGGTCACTGCATTCACTGTCAACTGAATGTAATCTTGAGCATCCAGATTTTGTGAGTACTACACAATTATATTGGCAGTAATGACAAGCTATCTTAGAATTTACAACCCAAAAGAACTAACCATCTTTAATCTTAAACCACTTTGTGTGAGGAACAATACTGACTGATGAAGAGATTCAGCAAGTTAAATTTCAGGTGCGTGAGGCTGAAGATTAAATTAGGACTATGACAACAAGAAATATAGAAAATGTTGATGAAGAGAACTGGTTTTCAGTTCTGGGAAAAGAGAAGGTAAATGAGAGAATACCACCGTCACATTCAGTATTCACAACACAAACCTGATAACAGGAAAGTCTCAGCAGTTTACTTTCAGCACACAACCCCCCAAATTTATTTCTTTTTCTTTTGTCTTAAAAGCATTGCTTTGTCTCTCAGCTTCCTCTTTTCAGATAAATCCTTTAAACATACTGACATCCCACTCTAGGGCCTCTCTCAGAAAAGAGCTGCCTTTAATCGAAATTCCCCTTAACAACTGAACTCCCTTAATGTGCTAACAGCATCTTTTCAGATTACTCTTTCAGCTCTGTCTTTGAAGTTTGATGGTACCATGAGCTGCTCAGAGATGTCCAGGTAACTGAGGCTGACTTTTTGGGCTAGCAGGTCCCAGCTGATAATGTCTTAGGTTTCCCCATGGTTAACTTACGCATAACAGTAATTATTTTTATATTGTAGATACGTGGTAATAATCCACTAGGAAAAAAAAAAACAACATAAACCCTGTCCTAGCAGGGGAAATTTCCAGTGGGTGCCACCCGTGGGCGCACAGAGGCCATGGAGCGGGTGGGACAGGGCAGTGGGTTGCTGCCTGCAACGTTGTACCCTCGCGTTTAGCGACCTGCGGGAAACACGTGCGAAGTGTGAGATCTGGTGTGTCAAAGCCTCTTACAGACATGCAAAGGGGCATTTTGTTTTTCATGGTGCCTCATGCCTGCTTTCCACGCGGAAGAGGCTCCTACCACCATGTTCTTCTACAGTGCAGGAGCGTACTAGCATGCCCCAGAGTGGCGAAGGAACATAACAGAGTCTGGTAATATATATAAAGGCACGAGAACTATGCCAAAATAGCTCAAATAAACCCTAGCTGTCGCACAGAAGTTGTAGGCCTCTGACGAAGACAGGTCCTCCAGCTCCTCGCTTTCTTTGTCCTTAAGAGGGCAGCATTACGATACAATGGAGCATAACTGCACGTTAACTTTGAATCATCGTCACCTCAATCTGTTCTACTTTCCTCAAACTTCGGTTTTATTTGGCTCAGGCTGTGTAAATTGACTTTGTCAGTTGTGGTTTTTCCCAATTGCGCCGTTGTGGCCATTTGCGTATTTAGACAAAGGCTATAAGAATTTAATTAAAAACAGGAAAAAAGAATTTGAACAAACATGAAGCATTTTCGTTTTGGACAAGTAACACCTTCTTAGACAAAAGTAGGATCAGAACATTCTAGACTTTTCCCTATTTGTTTTTAAAAATAGATAAAAATACTTTTAGGGTAGAATACGTCAAACCAAAAAGTGTTAGTTTTTTTTTTATATTTTATTTTAGCACATTGGTAAGATCTAGAACTTCAGTTTTGCACTTGATTTAGCTTTTAACCCATTAAGTTGTTCAGCGCATGGGTAGAGGAGTGCCTCACAGCCCAGTGTTCCCACCCGGCACTGACAGCGTACCTCCATCCCCACTGAAGCATGATGCCCGCTCTCCCCGCCGGGATAACTCCCTGCTTTTCACAGCACAGACTCCCCATCTTACTGCCCATGTTACCTCCATCCCTGACCAACAGGAGGACAGAGCCTGCATCTCAGGGTCACCCGACTGTCCCAGCTCAGGGAGCTCTGCATACGCTTCTCCTGAGAGCTCACCTTATCCTCCCCGCAGTCTGGGGCAGCCCCCAGACAAACACTGCTGTTGCTCTAATGTCACTACTGTCACTACCATCTCAGGTAGACCCACTTATTAGCTCTTTTGGTGCTGCCGCAGCACACAACCACCCTTAACAGCTCCTGAAAAGCCACCACACAGCTCCCATCCTGCAGGCCGCTCCTGACAACGCATCACTACCCTTCTGCTTCCTCTCTTATGCATGGATCGATAATCAGATTCAAATACAACGTGGTTGTTTTGGCATAAGGATGCTGTATCTGTTTAACTCAAAAGGCCTAGGGAGCCTAAAGCCTGCAATCACAGCTTGAAAGAAAAACTTACTAGTAGTCAGTGGTACTCATACAAGTACAACACATGTTTCTGGGATTTTGCAAGAAAATGTAGTTTCAAGGGGATTCTTCACATGTTTAAAGTTAAACAGGATTGCAGGATTTGATTCTATGTTTTTGAGTTTAAGGCACTTAGAAGGAAACACTTTTGTTTAGAAACCATTAGAGGAATAAGCTAAGAATATAGAGAAGCAGGCCTCTGATTAGAGAGTGATGCTTTAGCAGACATAGATCTAACAACACTAGTTCACTGCAAGGGTATCTTGGTTCTCTGTGAGAGAATGAAAGCTGTCAAAAATACATTTGCTTTGAAAAACAGTCATTAGCGCTTAATGTTTCTTTAGCATACCTTCAAAAGTTTAGCAAAATACTATGTAATTTTTGAGGCATCCCTCTGTGACACATGGGGTGCCTTGTTACTGGGTAGAGAAGCCTGGTGAACAAACTTGACTAAGATTTGATTAAACTCTAGGGATTTCAGGAGTTTTACTCTTTATTGGGTTGTATAGTAGGCTTTTTATAGGGCACAAAATACGGATACATTAACTTTTTCAGTAGATTCGTGCACATACAATTTATAGCACCTTGCTGGGAGTGGGACATCTGATTACATCTGGCACCTCAGAACTGTATTGGTTATGTTCTCTGTCTCACCAGCATGGAAATGAGACTCATGCTGCTAAAGAGACAAGATTCCCCAAACTAAACCTGAGAGTTCATTAAAAGGTTAAACAGGAAGTAATCCATCAGGTGCTCAGAATCTCTCAAAAGCTCGCTTATTGTCCTTATCACCTCTCTCAGATCTTGTAATCTAACTGAGGCTGTTCCCACGCAACATGAAAGAAGGAAATGAAAATCAATGATTTTGTCAGAGTGATTAATAGCTAAGATTGATTGCTGCAGCCTTAGTGAGTATATATTTTAAAACTCTGAATAGTTGTCTAAAGGTACACTGATTTTTCTTTTTGAGCTGGATGGATGCTACATTTAGTTAAAAAGAAATTGTACTGGAAATAGGGACTTTTGGGGAAGCTATAGTTCCAAAGTAGACCTGTA